CCATGATTGCTTTCACTTTCTGAGGATCCACTGAAATTCCTTGTCCACTGATAATATGCTTTAAGAATGCAATACTCCGCACCCATAATTCAACATTTGAAAATTTTGCAAATACTTGATTCTGCCTCAACAGCTCCAATATTTTTCTCAAATGCTTCACATGATCATCATCACTTCTTGAATATATCAGAACATTATTAATACATATAATAAAAAAATAATCCACATAATACTTGAATATTCGATTCAGCGTGTCCATAAAAATCGCATGAGCTTTTATTAGGCTAAATGACAACTAAGAATTTGTAGTGACTGTACCTGGTCCCAAAAGCTATTTTATTTACATCTGCATGCACTTGTGAAGTTAATGAACATGAAACGTAGGAAATAACTACAACTATAGTAATCATACATTTTATCCATTTCTATACAATAATAGTCATATTCATAAAAATGTTCATAGTTAATCACAATAATCCTATAATTTCACTTGTAATTGTATAGACTTCAACTGTTTTCTTATAATGTCATATCTTTGGGCTGTCACCCAACCCAAATGTTATATTAGCTATTGATAAAGGTTGGACTCCTCCGATCATAGTAGTTATCAAGAGCCCCTTGTTACTAACGGTTCCCTACTTTCTGTCTCCATCTAATCCCAATAGTTCTCAGAGTTTCTTCCTCATCTGAATGCTAGGAGTCGGAAATCCAATTGCTCCCCATAATCCGTATTTGAAAACATTCATGTAATAAACTACCTATAACATTACTTGTGACATTTCTTAAATCGTAATTCCTGTAACATATGCATGAATCATAGTAAATAAATACCTATAAACAATAATTTTATAAGCACATTCATCAGATTCATAGCATAGTAAAATCACAGGTATCATAAGGTACAAATTAGATTTGCATTCATACAATGTATTCAAATATTAATCCACAATATGTAGAAAATATTAAATGCAGTTGTTTCAAACATAATCATATGAAAACCTACAGAGTATTTTTTCTTAAGTTAACACATGATTATTTCACCTGAAATTGAAATGATAGTGCGGCCCTATGATGAGTTTCCTCAAACTCGCCTTGAGCTCACCGCCTACTGTAAACTATCTGAAATTCGTAAAAATTCATGAAATTATTAATTGACACGATTTTCTTGCTTTAATTTACCTCAAAAATACTTTTCGACATAAACATGCCTCCTCGATACCTTTCTATTATGTTCCCACTTATTCCTTTCCCCCAATTCTTCCCCTACTTGTGAACGTACTTATTGGAGAGCGTTGCTCTCAGTTCGGTGGTTACCTGGCTATTCTTGTAAAGCTACAACAACAGGGAACAGTTTGAATTCTTGAATTTGTGGCAAATATCAAAACGAAAATTTAGGGAAAGTCCAAGAACAGAAAAATGAGATTCCTACTTACTGATTTCTTCCTGAAACTCCAAGCTATGAGTTCCAGCCATCTATGGGTAGCCGGTTCCGCTCCTACTACACTACAGGAAGAAGAATTAGGAGAGGAAAATGGGAAATACGAAGGCTCTAGAGGAATTTATTTTTTTACAATGAATCATGACCCTTTAATTTCATCAGTGATTGCATGCCTAGATAAATACGGAGGTTGGCTGGCTACAGTAATCTAGGATTAAGGAGTAAATTAAATGCTTAATTAAATTTAATTAAGTCGATATTGTATTATTTTTATATCTCTAATTGTATTCATAATTCATGTATGGCGTTATACAATAAATTGATTGATTCAATGTGTAGAATTTTATAAATTGATTCGGTCGAATTCCGAGATATGCAAATTTTGGGATATATTACGTAATTGTGAAAATTTTACCTGATATTTCCAAATTGGGTGTTACATATTAGCCATTGAGAGTGTTCAAAATTGAATCTTTGAGTTTAAATACTATTTGCAAAATCATTTTATTTCTAAAGTTTGGGACACTATTTTCTACAAGTAGTTTGCATTTTGTAGAAGGGGGTATTTCTTTCTTTAACAAAATATGTTATTATCTTCTTAAACAAACTATTATTCTAGTTTGCATACGTATTGATATCCCTGTGGATTCTCTGTCCCAATTTTGATAATTAGGAACCCTTTAATGATCTTCCATGACATCGAATGTTAGTTGGGAAATTGATTTATCGGTTTGTAGGCCTAACATCTCTTTTGTAGTGTTGTGAATGAACATATGCAAACTTCAAAGTAAAGATATTAGGAGGTTGTTCTCCCATGCTCAAACAGAACAAAAATTATTTTGGACAATGGTTACTAGCATTCTTTCATGTTTATTTTTCTTGATTTTATGAAAAATGAAGTTAAGATTTCGATATTGCATTTTATTTGGACATAATATGGTCATAGTAAAAAATAATATGTTGTGACTTGAACCAATGTTGAGAATGAATATAAGACTATTTTTTGGATGTGAAATATTGTGGGTATAAGAGAGTTTGGCTTTCCTATTGTAGAATGTGGCTATGTTTTGTGAATACGATCCTATATTCTACGAGAAGACAGTATATTGAGTTTTTTTACTCCTTTTTTAGGTTCAATGTTAGTTCATTTGATATGTTGTACTTTCTAAGAAGATTATGATCCTGCATGGCTTTAGTTTAAAACAAATGGCCATTCAACAGGTTGGAGATAGCTTTTATATACATATACATACAAACATACATATACATGCATGCATACATACATACATATAATATATATCTACCTATCTATCTATCTATCTATCTATCTAT